TACGAGTTACCACCGCTGAAATACCGGGAACACCGTTGTACGGGGTGGGAGTATTCTTAGGGTAACAGAGCCGCGATTAATTAGACGTCCATGGCGTACAAGTCCGCAGGCACTCTTGACCGATGACAAGACGCACTCGAAGCAGATACACACGGGCTGGAGCGTGTGCACACGTCCGCGTTGTTGTAGGTCTACGCCCTAACCCGCGCCGCGGCGTATCAGCGTACGGTGGAGACAGACGCGGACAATGGAATCATGCGAGGACAATGCCGAATAATTTAGAATGGCATATAGATATCGGGAGCTTCCGGCCTACGGCGGCGCTGCATAATAGAGAATAGGAGTAATAGGACACAGGCTGCAGGGCAACTGTGGAGGACACGAAACATCCCTATAAATTAGGCTTAGGCTCAGCCACCCCACCCGACCGACCCACCGTTTCGTTTCTCGATACAACCTCTTCTTATCGCCGCTTCCACCCATTCGAATTTCAAACCATTCGTGTCTGCTACAAACAGTGTCCAGAAAATGGCGGATTAATCGACATTTCTGGGAAATTTTAATTTTCAACGAAGAGATTGAGGCAATCTTCTACAGAGCTCCTAATAGAATTAAAGATCCGCCAGCACAAGTATTAGATATTAATATCATCTCTGACTACCACAAAATGGACGTTTCGACGCGGCCATAAACGACGGGATCGTATTGTAAAATTAGGCACTGTCTATGTGTTTTTTAAGCACACTATCGAATAAATTCCGTTCGTCCATGAACTGGTAATAAATCGTGTAAGGTTACACAGAGGGGTAGGCGCCGGTACCTCGGGCGTTGAAACGAGTTTTATTAACTTTCTCGATCGTCTCCGAGTACCGACGAGTGTATAGGGATACGTTACACCATAGAGACCGAGGAGAAGTTAGATTTCGTCGTGTGTGCCCCCGACGGGCGAAGCAGGAGAGAGAGAACAAGAGATTACAATAAATTGCACGCACCCTTCTCGAAATACAAGACAAGCTCCAGATACAGGGAACGGCGAAAGAACGGGAAAAAGATTCCTCGTTCGCGATACTGTGTTCCCTTTTTCTGTTGCGTCGCGTTTCATGGGCGTGACCTATCACAATGGTCTCCGTTTTCACACCTTTTCCTCGCCCTATTGATTAGGGAGCTACGGAGCTTTACGGATAATCCGTTCCCCCGTTGGCAAATCGGTCGCGAACATGCTACCCGGGTCTCAGGTTCCACGACAATGTGTTGATTCCTTCATTGAACGTTTTTGACAAATTTCAAGACACCCATCGTTTGATGAAATAGAAAGAAATGAATTTTAAATGATTATAAATAATTATAAATCTTTTCGATCGACTTTTGACTTTGCAAAACGTTAAATATCTCCTGAACTATTGAGTCTTTACCCTGTACCCCCAAAATCCCGGGTACCATTAGCTCCTCCGAAACTCTATTGTGCAAAAGCTCGTCACGGGGGTGGGTGGTGGGCTTCGGGACGTTTGCTAGTCAGCGGAAAGGAATGCAATAAGGGACGGTGTTAATGTAGCCGCTGGACGGTCGGGAAATTCCCGTCGAGCGTCTCCGTCGGGCGAGCAAAATATCTCCGTTCGCGTCTAGTTTCTCCCTCGGCCAGCCGGGATTATGAGACAGTTATTAAAATATCATTCTTCCCGGTGACCCTTGGCGGCATCTCGACCCCGAAATCACCCCTCTCGGTCGACGCGTATCCGCAAACAGGGGCGAGAGTCGTCGGTGCTCGCGCTACGTGGGTGGTGGTACCCGTGTGTATCCTTTGCACGGTCCTGGCCTAACGAAGTGCATGTTTACCGCGTCCTTGAAGCGGAGGGAGGCTTCCTGTATACTCCCCCGGCGAGGGCGTGTACGAAAGAAACGATTAAAGAAGGGTGCTTCCGACTTGGATGAACTTTTTCAGCCCTGGGACGAGCACGAGTTATCGGAGCATACGGTTATGTATTCGTGGTGTTCGAGTTATGGAATTTGGACTAATATGGAATACCAAACAATGTTAAAGAATCGTGATTTTACCATCTATTGGCGACGAATGCGATCGATTATTGTCATTTGTTGCAACTAGCGTGTGTATGCCCGAATTTTAAATCAACCTGTGTTCGTAAAAGAATATCGCAGTCTGAGATTTACTTAATATTGGGTCTTTTTTTCCAAATGGAGTCGAGTCAAGGAACCTTCGTCTTTTCCAAAACGGTCCCGGACCATTTTCACCCCTCCAAGAGCATCGTGGCGCACTTTGTGCCGGTCTGGGTGCTCGAGGTTGTTAGAAATAATTGCGAGAGGCCCGTGTACGCGCAGGTTCCTTCGTCGCTGAGAGTAATACAACCGGGTTCGAGAGTGCCGTTATAACGTGCTGAGGCGTACACGCGTGCACGGCCATTGAGCCCTCGTCAATGCGTGAAAGAATCCCCGCGGCCGACCCCCGGACCCGGGGGGTGCGTCGACCGCTGAAGAAAGTCTGCTCCGGCTGACCGCTCGTTAAAAAGTTTAACCGGCCGTTTATTAGCGGAACAGAGCGAGACGGATGTAGGGCGAGGAAATGTAGCCTTCCACCCTACCATTTCGCGGACGCTCGAGACCCGCTTCATCCCCTGGTCTACACCCCCTCGCCACCCCGGCCCCCTTTCTCTTCGTGGGTTAAATCTTGACGCCGCACGCTTCCGATAACAAGGTTGCCTTCGAGTGCCTCTCTCTGGCAAAACCACGGGGATTCGTTCCCGAGCAACTATATAACAAGTGTCTCGATGTTTAAGTTAATTGCTGCGGTTCTCGTTTCTCCTCGGTTTCGACGCGTTAACCTTTTCACTGGGGGGGAGAAAGCTAACTTATTGGAACGACGTACAGTCTTGGATACATAGAGATGCAATTAGGAAGAAAATTGAACCTTGGACCTTTTAATTTTTGTTAATGTCCAAGGGATTAAATATCTTCTCGACGCGTTCACTGTCTGTAACCCATATGTGGGCCATAGCACCACGTTATTGGATACGCCGCTGTGAAATCAGACAGTGAACGCGTTCGAAAGTGTTACCTATTCGTTATCGATAGCGTTACAAAGTATGATAGTTTCTCTTTAAAATAAGCGTAACCCCAATAATAAAGAACGTGCAATTAGGAAGAAAATTGAACCTTGGACCTTTTAGTTTTTGTCAGTGTTCAAGGGATGAAATATCTTCTCGACGCGTTCACTGTCTGTAACCCATATGTGGGTCATAGCACCACGTTATTGGATACGCCGCTGTGAAATCAGACAGTGAACGCGTTCGAAAGTGTTACCTATTCATTATTGATAGCGTCACAAAGTATGATAGTTTCTCTTTAAAGTACGCATAACCCCAATAATAAAGAATGTTTTTTAGCAAAGTTACAGTTGTTCGAAGAAACCGTCTGTGTAATTTCTGTATTATGAATATTAATATTTTGTATTTGAACGCGTATGCAAGTGTACAAGACAAGTACCAGGGTTCTTAAACTACAAGTATTTTTCTCGTCCAACGTGCTTGAGCTAACGGGAAACGAATTTCACTCGGGATGGAACTTGACCCGATGAAATTTATAGACACTTTGCTCCGCGAACGATAGATCAAAGTGTATATATTACTGTATGTTTGTGACGATGTGTTCCACGAGTTAACTTCGTGTTTAACTTCTTGCAAAACGTTGCGCGGACGAAACTCGCTTGAAAGCGCCGGTACGAGTTGCTCCTCCGACCAGGCACTTTAAATAAGACACACGAAGAAGCAAAAACGCGCGTTGCGCAATCAGGCCGTGTTTGAGGAACAATTTACTCGCGTGTCATCCTCGAAAGTTAATTACTGTCGCGGTTGGCTCGAAATGTTTTTTAAAACCTCGCGATTCCAACGATCCTCGAAGATCTAAATATATTTATACTTTGCCTCTTTGGCACTCCCGAATAATAATAGTTTCAAAGGGAAATCGTACATTTTTATCGTTTAAAGCTTTAGTAGCGAGCACTTTTATAGAACCAAGCAACGGACGACATTTTGAAACGTTGTTATTCGTTGATCCTGGAAACGAAAGGTTCTGTCTCGTTTCCAAGCGCGAAAAAGCAGAAAACGTACGGAAAAGTCCTGGATAATAGTTTACTGGCTCGAATATTTCCCTACAGATTCTCGATAACGAGCCCCGATAACGACCACGCGCCGCGGAGAAAATAAACGAGCCGAATCGCGGGTTTTCCGTTTCACTTGAACCCAATCGTCCCCGCAGAAATACAAGTTTCGAGCCGGGCTGGTAACGACGACCGAAGAAACTTAAAGGGCGCCGAGAACTGACCGCATTAAAGTCTCCGCGGCTCTTCAGCGCGCCGGAAATACACGAGTAAATAATTATGGCTACCAACGGCGCTGCCCGTCGGTGGTTTCCGTCTTATTATTTCCAAACGTATTCTAAAATGTCCGTAAATCTAGCGTTAAACAGTTGAGGTAAGGGATGAAACTTCTCCAAAGAGACGCCATTTTGGGCAAATGGAGGATCACATAAATTTTCAAATAACTACATTGACAATCCACTTAAGGGTCAAAGATCGTTCTAACCCTAATATTACATTTCGATTCCCACAACAAAATGGCTTCCCTCGAATAGTGAGCGAGTTAATGGCCGCATTCACAGTAACGAAATCGTCACACGCTTTGTACCGATTCCGCGAACTGTCCAACGAGGTTACCCGGTGCTCGGAACGGGCCCCATGCCTGGTAAATACCGGGCGGTCCCCGACAATAAAAGATGCACAACGTATTTTCGAGGGTGTCGAGGATACGTAAGAGTCAATTCGGCGTGCGTCGTAGAACAATACAAAGTGTTTGCTCGATGGAGAATTTCATAGGTATTGTGCGTACCTACGCGTGCTTTTTCTTTCGTTCTTTGTTTTCTTTTTTTCTTTCTCTCCTTTTTCTCTTTTCTTCTTTTTTTTCAAGCCCGGAACGATACGTGTTTTGTTCCAGGCACAAAGAGGTCGAGAATCTCTGAGAGCACTACGGGAACAATGCTTTCCACGAGCGACACCGGTAACGAAGACGACCGTGACTCCGACTCCGGCGGGGAACTTCTCGCTGACCGTCCATTGGGTGAGATTTCTTCTTTCCTTAAGGTCTGGGTTAACTGCGTTCTTGAACGTGTTCCTATACACCTGGTGGACGATTCGAATTAGAGATCATTGGCTAGAAACGCGAGACTTAGGGTAGCAGGATTTAGATAGAGATTTAATAGACTCCAGAGTTCTTCAAACTTGTTATACGAAGGCCATTTAAACACTCGAAGAAACATTTAATAGCACAAGCAATAGAAATATAAACTGATGATTTTGTATCCCAAACTCCCTTATTTAACCGTATGTATTGTTTGTGTAACAGGAGTGGCGACGTCGATCGGATTAACGGATAATGATACGCCGAGGAAGCGGTCCAGTAGTCTGAACGATTCCGAGGAAGGAAGTCCGGAACCTGGTTCGCAGAGTCCGACGCACACGCCGCCACTAACGCCAGCATTGACCCCGCAAAGGGAAGACACGCCGGCGCCAGAGAATCTCAGCCTCCGCAAAACCGGGAGTCCCCAGCAAACCCAGCAGACCCTGCAACCGGTGGACCTCGTGCAACCCAGACCCAGCCCTCCGCTACCTTCGCTGGCGGTGAGTTGAGTCCCTCTATAAGCTCCTCCTTTGGTTAATCTTCGTTTTGGTATAAAATATATCTCAAGCAGACACTCGATAAAATACTAAATATTAATCTATCAATCGTCGACTGCCACCAAGGCAATGATAGTAAGGTCGGAAACTAGGACCCAGTTGGCCTGAGTTCGATTCCATGACTACACAAATTCTTTTCCTCTTGATATAGATAAATTTTAACCCTTTGCACTCCGAATTATATTTCAATTTTGTTACCAGCAGCTCCCAACGCCTTCAAGTGTTTTATTTGAAATTTACCTGTTAAAATATCTGTTTTATTTACACTGTTGTTTTTTGTAATTTTCAATATCTTTTTGGTTTTGACTTGAAAAAGTGTCGAGTGGGACTTGACGATGGAGCTCCTGGGATAAAAATTGATGTCGAATCACACTCGACATAGGAGTGCAAAGGGTTAAATGATGCCCCTTCGTGTTTATTAAAATGTATAACGTACATGGAAGTAGTTTCTTCCGTTTCAGGCTGCAGCGACGGCAGTGCACTTTCCACCGTACGCGCCTCTTTATGGACCCGCGGCAAGTTCCCTCTACTGTTCACCGGCCCTCTACCAGCACCACCATCACATGCCAGAGCCCCGCGAGATTCAGATGCAGATGCAGATGCAGATGCAAAACATCCAACAGTCTTGCGGTCTTCAGTTGCAGCAGCAGCAACAGCAACAACAGCAGCAGCAGCAGCAGCAACAGCAACAACGGTCCCCGGTGGACGTTTTGCTGCGAGTCTTTCCGGGAAGGCGTCGCGCGGACGTGGAGGCTCTGCTGCACCGGTGTAAAGGTAGGGCCCCAGCAATCCGATATTCGCAGACAGAACTCGATATACCCGGTGGCCAGGTCCCTTTTCAGAATCGTTCTCGAGTTTCAATTCTAAACCGCGGCGAGCAATTAGCGACCCTTGGAATTAGAACCGCGAATCTTTTCGAGGGGTGGGGGTTCCCTTCGCGCTAAACGGGAAGTTTCTAATACCGGAAATATTATTATATAATAGTGGACTGAAACTTTGGTTAAACTTTGGTATAGAATTTGAACGGATCGTTAGGTGTACCCTAATATCGGACATAGACTCAGAGATATCGGCACAAGGTTCGTGTGTCTTATTTGTTGCTTTCTAAGGAAACCACGCGAATGGTTTCCAAAGTTTGAAGAATTCGAATCGATTTGAAAATTGTAACCCAAATCAGCCTCCCCCCCCCCTCTGTCCTGGCGGAGGGTTTCGTTGACAAAGAACCCGAACTCCCGACAGTATCTCGCCATCAGAAAGAAAGCAAGCTGTCTGTGTCGCAGGCGACGTAGTCTCCGCCATGGAGGTGCTGGTCTGCGAGGACAGTCTGCAACCGAAGTCGGCGTTCTCACCGCTGGCGGGCGCGTTGGCGTCGGCGGCGGCGGCGTCCGCGTCTGTATCGGCCGCGTACGCGACCCGCGCCGCGTACTGCACCACTCCCATACCCTCGACCAGACACAGGTTCCTGGCTGCGCCTTACGCGGGCACCGGTTACCTGCCCACGGTGATCAAGCCGCCCAATCAGAGCCTGCACGCGAACGGTACCGGCGACGCCTATCGGGAAACCAGTCCCGACGACGCCAGCGACAAGACCAGCTACTCCGAGTGACCTGACGACGCGCAGGCTGCCACCTGGTCTTACCTGCAATAGCCGTGGGACGACGGGCTGCTCGGGAGGAGGGACTTCGATCGGGCAAATGGCGACGGGACGAACGCTCGATGAGGGATTCGCGGTCGTCGCGGACGTGACACCGCTTCTGGGCTTCCTAGGAGTACCGAACCAACTTTTCAGAGCGATCGAAGGACGTTCAAGGTCGAAGATGGCGGACCAGCGACGAGCTTCACGGAGGAATTTTTGGACCAACGTCGAACATCTCGGGAGAATTGTTCGAGGAGTGCGAGTTGATCCTACGATCCTAACACGGTTAACGACATTTGAAGAATGGTTGTTTGGAATTAATTTGAGATTAATTACGATCGAAGGATTTGGAAGGATGAAGATCTTGAAGGACGGTTCTTATGTAAGTCGATCCCAAGTGTCTAGAGGAATTCTCATTGACAATAATGCACCGGGGAATGCTCTTTAAGGAGTGATTTAGACGAAGGATTTCGATCGATGTTGGGGAGATGTTAAAGAATGGTTTCGGAATGTTGCACGAGTTGAGCTTGAGTTTTTTTCATGCAGATCGCAAGATCTTGAAAACAGGGCTTCCGGAATTAGTTTGAAATTGTGGCGAGGGATATTTCAAAATTTCCACCTTGGTCCCTTACAATTTAATAGAATTGACTGTTTACACGAAGAATGCATATTTACTGTTGACCAGTGTTATTAAATGCTCTAATTTCATTGTTTCCAAACATCCCCGAAACCGACATATTTTGTTTTGTTCCTGCTAAGTTACAAATTTTAATCGTCCAAAGTCACCTGATACACGAACAATTCAGCGATTGAAAAGGTTGCAAAGTGTCGGAAGGAGAAGTTCCGGTGACGCCATTGGGCCGGAATCGAGTCCCACAGTAGAGTCATAGTTCTACGAGTGTTCGCGTGGGAGGTTCCCCGAACAGGAAAAACTTAGTTTTCTTCCGGGAAGAGTCGGGCGTATTAATAAATGATCTTATACGTACTTAATCGCAGTCGAGAACGAATCGAAGTTAAACAGAGACGCGAAAGATGTTTCCCTAGATCCTTCCTGGCGCGTCGAAGTCGCCAGAGGACACGAAGAAGACTTTGTGAGTAACTTCCTGAGAATACACTTCGTACTAATCCGTTTCTTCCGACCCGATGTTTCGAAGAGAACGGGCAAAGCGTATGTTAAAACGAACAAACGAGCCGCGTTGCAACGAGATATACCTTTATACATGTGTAGATAAAAATCGAACGGTAATTAAGAAGTATGTGTGTAGGCAACAAAAAAAAAAAAATAAATAAATAAATAAATAATTAAAAGAAAAAATGTATCGTCAGAATAAAGGTGAAAACGGATACTGTAAATACGCGTGAACCGCTTTAGCTAATCCGCCATTGTATTAATCGAAGCAGCTGTCGACACGGAGTATGTTAGATCGTTAACGTCGTATACAAAGTAAAAGAATGAGAGAGAATGAGAGAAAGAGAAAATTAAAGAAAATGCGTTTTAACGCGTTTCGTTCCAGGAGCGTGTGCATATAACGACGAATTATACATAAGTGTTTGCCTGTAAGTATAACGGCTCTAAGATGTTTAGATTTGCCGGCGACCGGACGCGTCGTTCTTTGTAGTTACCATATGTTATCCGAAGAAATGTATAGACGGAATATAAGAACAATAAATAAGATATTGATACTCCATTCGTTGCCTCGGTTGATCCCGGTGTTCATCGTCGCTTCGTCGAAAAAAAAAAGAAACTATAAACTATATAATAATTTTTATTTTTATTCTTAAGAGGAACGGAACATGTCGCAGCCAACGACCACCGACAGATCCGTCTGTGAACTCTCTGTCCAACGAGTGCAGTAAGTTGAACAAATCTGAAATTTCTGGTCTGGAAAATACACCTTTGCATGACTTACATGAATCTTTTTTGTTGATTCAGTGATCTTTCAGTGGCCTTTCAGTTCTCGAGGAACGCGAGTCTAACCGGTAAGTAAATATCATCCCCAAGTTAAACCTAAATTACTCGAGAGACAGTTTCATCGAGAAAGTTGTGCAAAGTTGTGTAGCCTCCTCGAAAACACTCGTTCGTTTTCCAACGAATTCTGTTCGAAACGTTCCCAAGGCTGTTTTCGATGTGCATCGAAAGGAGACACTTGTCCCCGGGGGACCCCTTTGGTTCGTCGCAGTCGTTCCCAAACAGATGCCTCGGACAATAGCGGGGTCGTCGATGGGGATAGTTAATTTGTCGATGCACGAAATCGTCATGCAGGATTTTCCAGCCGCCTACACAATGTATCGTCGCCAGATCGTGGATAATGCGCGATGGCAGGCGAAACGAGGGCAAAGAAACGTTAAGATCGTTTCGCCGAATGGACGCGGACAAGTTGCCCAGGTGGTTGAAAAATTTCTGGAGGGAGGGTAAAAAGGTATCGGATGTCGGATACAGTTCGCGGTCGCGTAAGGTTCTACGGCGCCAGGGGGCGAACGAGAATCTTTGAAATCGGATCGGTTTCATGCTCGATCAGCTAGCCCCCGGGATCCTCGAGCAGTCGATTTCCTGCCAATGGATTCCCGACGACGCGGCTAATCGATTTTACCAGTCGATTTGCGATCTCGACCCGCTGAAATTATCGACCCCCGGTCGGGCCCGCGTTTGCGTTCGGAATCGACTCTCGTTCTTTTACACTGCGTGTCGTAACTATAAAACCACTAAAAACATTTTCTATTATTATATATTGAGGTTAAAATAGTGAAAAGCAAAGAGTACCGTGTTTGATATTCTGCCAAAGAAGGGTAAATTGTATCCACTAAAAAAAGGAAGAACTACAGATTTATTCTTACTTCGTAACTATAAAATAACAAAAATTATAGAAATATCGCGCTGAGAATCCAATTTAATTAAGTTATAACTAGACTGCGGATCTTCATGCAAATTCACATTTTTATTAATAGAATTAATGAAACGGAAGCTTCTCAGAGGGCTGTCTCAACCCCTAAATATAATAATTCGTATCTTACTTTAATTATTTCTTATATCTTTGCATATTAAAATTTCCCATACATCCATAAACATCTGCAGTCTAGTTATAACAATAATTTAGTAATATTTTATCAGTATTGATCAAGTACTCGATCGATATTTAAATTTTCTCGAAAGCAAAGCCTCCCCAGGAAACTGACGGGAATTACAGTAAAACCGTGTCATCGACAAGTGACGTGAAAGTCGTGGCGGTGAAATCCATCGACGGGCACGACCACTACCCAACGTAATTATTCCCGAATCATTGCTGTCCCCGTAATTTAGAAAAATTACAAACGCCAAGTTTCGCGATCGCCGAAGACCCGGAATAAAATGGAAAGTGGAACTCGAGGAACGTCTGGAATTCGCTTTCCCTCGTTCGGGATATTCCCCAGCAATTTTTGTTCTCGAATTTTTCCTTTTATCGCGAATCCGCCCTGTATTCGATTGTACAGTAATACACCTTGCACGGGTACGGTTTCGTGCGCCGCGAGTTTCCCTATAACATATAAAACGTTGAAAGGAACGACCAGCCAGACGCACGGTAAACGAAAAATTAAAACGCACAGCTTACCCGAAAACAAAGTTCTTTTTACGGACTGATTTGCAGCTGAATTTTTATCAAATTTCCGAAATATTTCGGATATCTCGCCCGCGTGTAAATTTCCACTCGGAGGCGCGAACAGTGCCGCGGGAATTTTTTCGTCGTTGGGAAAGCGCGCCAAAAATCGTTCCTCGGCGTTCGCGCGATTAAAAATTGCACATCGTCGTCGCGGCTGGTGCTCGAGCATCGTTTAGAAAAAGTGGTGGGAAAGAAAAAAAGTGGTAGAAAAGTACAGAAATCATTTTCCAAGCGTCGCGTTAGGCTGCTGGTGGGTAGACCCCGCCAAACGAAATCACTTTTCCCGGCATACCGATACTCGAATAATTACGAGGCGGCGATACGCGTGCTCCGATGGTCGGGGAGGGAGGTGGGAGGGCTGCCAGTGGTACACGTATCGATGAAATACCGATAATCGATTGGCCTCTACAAGGCGCATATCCGATAGGTCGATGCCTGAACACGCGCCCAACGTTATATACCCGGCAATTTGTACCCGACGGTGGTGGTGCACGCCGGTGCATTATAATGCCGCCGCGCGCGGCCCCGCTTATTATTTACGAGCCGTGGCTGGCTCCAGGGGTGGCAATATATCGACACCCCGCGGAGTTTCCTCCTTTGGCTACTGGTTACCATTCATAATGGAGCATAATGGGCCCTCCCCACCCTCCTACCACCCCTTTTCCACATCACCCTCTAGCCGACCGGGGGTTTAATCCGCAGTCAGGGTGCAACAACCCCCCATCGGTACGCGTATACACCAGGCAACGTGCTCTTTCGATCTCTCCTTCACGAAATGGAATTTTAAGCCGCCAGGGTCTCGCGAAAGAGGGCTACAGCCTCTGACGGAGACTTGGAAACCGATCCAGTTCGGAACCCAGAGGGGAACCCCGTGCTTTTCGTACAGGAACCGCGTCAGGCTCGAAACGGGTCGCTCGCGTTAACGCGTTCACTGTCCGTGGTCCGTATACGGGTCATAGCGCCACGCTTTTGGATGCGCCGCTAAGAGATCGGACAGTGAACGCGTTAAAATTTATTTTGACGTCCGTATATCGACTTCCACCGAGTACAAATCGACGAAAATGTGAAATTCGAGGCGTCCCGATAAAATTTCCACGGAATGCATGCGAGAGGGTGGGAACCAAGGGCGAAGGGAGAGCGGGACGAATCGAGAATCAACGGAAACATCGATATTTGTCGAATACTTAAAATCTCGATCCGCGAGAAAGCACGGCTACCCGAAACGGCGCGACGCGCACCGGCGGGGTACGGCTTTTAAAATTTTTTCGACTTCCATCAATATTTGCTCTGGTCGTCTCCTTCTCCGGGGTCCGGGGATCGCCGAGCTTCACCCTC